AAAAAAAAAAAAAGAAAAAAAGAGGATACTGAAATGTCTATTGCAGCAACACCTGAAACATTTGAGTTTTAATTCAATCACATCCACTACTTCTGAACAATCGTTAACTTGATGTTCAACACCAAGAACATCTAGGAATGAATGCAGATTCCAGCCAAAAATTTCCTGCCCCCTCCATTCTGAAAACACAGAACAGGAAACTGCTTTCAGCCTTATAAAATCTCCAGTGCTAGTCCTAGTCCCACAGAAATAGTGGGTGAAGCAACACACAGCTGCAAAACATCTCAGGGATGATGAGTCTACAGACTACTTCAACAGCTTCACAAAAAATATTTGCCAGTTTTTATCAAAGGAAGAAGTCTTCTGTAATTATGCCCTAAAGTTCTAACTTTGCTCACAAACACATGCCCATCAGACAAGGCAGGTGACTCGTTGCTCAATAGATTCTGGAACATGTATAGTTTAAGACAAAATGTGTCAGTGTTGGCATGTTCCACAGAGGCAATTTTGTTATTTTCATATTCACAAGGACTTTCTGAGGACACAACAGCATGGAGTCTAGATCAGCACCCTTGCTGATTCCTTGCTTGATGAATGTCAGGTTCAATAACAAAAGATGTGCAGACATTAATTACACTCTGCATAGGCAGCCACTGGATGTAATCTACAGTTTACAGTACTAACACAGTGGAAAATAGCAGTAGTATGTGCCATTCTTTATGGCAAAACCTAAAAGAAGACAGGAGTCATGTAAAACCTCTATGAGCAGTTGGCACACCCTGAAGTTAATAACAGTTCACACACATCTTATTTTATTCTCTTACATTGCTGATGTTCAGAGCATTGAGTTTTGACTGCAGCATCTCAGGAGTGTCAGAAGGTATGGAAATCTGTGTCTTGTCCTTGTCCCAGGCCTCACGGTACAGATGCTAAGGAGAAAGGAAGCATAATGACATTTCACTATGGCCTGAACACTGAAAAATACAACAACACTTGTGGGAATTACTTTGCAACATCAATTTTAAATTAACCATTATCATGTTAGAAACTGTACTCTCCAACACAAAGAAATGTCCACGTACAGTGTAAGATAAAGAAAACAAAAGCTTACATTACTGAGTTGCATAGCATTGATCTTAGCCTGGACAACATCTGGCGCATCAGTTACACTGGTGAATTTTATCTGGTCTGGCCGTGTGCGATACAACTTGTCATTCAGGATTTCCTGGGCTTTCTTGGCTTTGACTACATCCACAGAACCTTCTGTCAGCCAGCCAATACCTCGTAACCACTCCAGGTCTGATTTGTACACATTCTGCAAATAAAACAAAGGGTGACTGCCACTGCAGAGACAACATTGAGTATACAGAGCTTATGTACCTCCTCCAAAAGTTTTACACAAAGTACTAATTGCTGAGATGGCAGCCTACCAAAACCATTAAGTAAAAAAATTATCGCATATTTTGCACTGCAACAAATTCAACCATACTTTAAAATAAATCCTACATGCAAAAGAGACATAGTCTGCAGGTAAACATTATTCAGTAGACAAAAACACATCAGTAACACACACTACATGCTGATTTGAACTGCCAAATACACTTCTGGCTACCAAGATGTAAATGTTGAAATTATCATATACATGAATTACAAAACCATGTGAGGACAGACTGCAAACTCATGAAAAGATCCTTGAGATAATGTATGAAGAGTAACAAGAAGAGATTCATGCAACTTTGTGAAAGCTTTCCTACAATTAATCCCACTCACATCACTCTGTAGGTCGTAGGCTTTCCTCGCGTGCACCACATCATTGTGGTCAGGCAGACACGTCCACTGGTGAAGGTAATGGCGGTAGTCAACATCACTGACAAGAGTCTGGCACTCCTTGGCTGCCTGCAGTGACATTGCATCCACTGGCATGTGGATCTGGGCCTTCGAGTCATTGTACGCCTTCCTGTAAATGCGGTCATTCTGCAGCAACATGGCTCGTGCAGCCCACATCAGCTTGGGATC